CTACACTGAAAAGCATCGGGCTAGATAGTACAAAATGGAAAACTAGGATGTGTTTGATGAAAATCTTGACTTTATTAAAAAAATTTTATTTAAAAAATTATTAAAAAACATTATATAAAAAAGTGATAAGTATTATATAAAAATTAATAAATTTTATAATAAAATGTTATTAAATTGTTAATTTTTTATAATTAATAAAAATAAATGTAAAAAATTAATTTTAAAAATTATTGAGTAGATATATACAGAGAAAGGTAAAATTTTCTACTTTTTATTAACTTAGCCATAATCTACATAAATAGAGGTAAAAAAAAAAAAAGTCACTCTCTACAAGGACAAATCAAAACCATAACATCATGTCTTTATTGCCATAGGGATCATACATGTGGTTGGAATACTGTAAATGCACTGTTCTTTGAGGAAAATAATGTCATAGTTATTAAAATTATAAAATATTATTTTTAAAAGTATTAATTTTATTTAATTTAATTAAGAAAAATAATTAATAATTATAATTATTAATTATATAAAAATTAAAATTTATTAATTAATAGTATTAATAGTAATAATAACCATGCCAAAATAAGGGTTGTTGCCTCAGAAGTAGCAACCATAAACAATTACTGAATCTTTGTTTAGAAATGCTCATAGTTTAGGTAGAATCCATTTTAATTCTTAAACCTTCAAATCCAAGTTTTCCAGATCCTTTTATTGGTTTTATAAGCATTTTTTCTTTCTTAAATGCATAACAATTGTTAGAAAGCAAGGCCCCAAGAAAGTTGGGTTAAAACCAATTTTTAATCTCGCACCTTATAAAATTGATAAAGTTTAGCCTAACTTTATAATATGACACTTTTAATCATTTACTTTACAAAATTGGTAAGTTTTAGCTTCTTAACTTATATTAGGACACTTTTAGCCCCTTATATATATGAATTGAAGAAAATAACTCTCACTTAATATCAAATTCTAATGTTCTGTTAGTTCTATTAGTTAACTATTAGTATCCGTTAACATTTCGTTAATGAAACTAGCAAATAAAATTGAATTTAAATTTCATGTTTTTTATAACGAATTGCTAATCGATGTTAACAATTAGCTAACAAAACTAACAAAATGTTATAACTTGATATTAGGTAATGGTTATTTTCTTCAATTCGTATAGATAAGATGTTAAAAATGTCATAATATAATATGAGGGGTTAAAATTTACCAATTTTTTAAGGTAAGGGGCTAAAATCTACCATACCAAATTTGTAAGGTAAATGACTAAAACCTACTAATTTTCTAAAGTAAGAGGCTAAATGTTGGTTTTTGCTAGAAAGTTTCACCTAAAACAAAGAAAGATTTTTTTTTTTTAATGTTTTGTGAACAGTCACATGTGGTATTGTAGTTGAAGTGTCCATCTCCATTTGGTCATGTTAGGAATAGCCGAACACTCTGATCTAATTTCTGTATTCTAGCCCAATGGGACCTCGGTGTTTCCATTCTCTTGAAAAACTCTTCAATTTTGAATGTAAACATGACAGCTTATGATGTATGGACAAAGTATGGTTGTTGTCATCAATAAAAATGTTAAAGAAACCAAAATTTCCTTAATATGACCCTTAAAATACTCACATTTAAGAGAAATATTGGTGAGCTTAACACTTGGGTTGGTGGCAGCGGGAATAACCATGTCCACATGAAGAAGGCGGCAACAGAAAAATGCTCAGATATTTTCCCTAGAAATCACATGTGAATGGCTGAGCTAAGTGGTGGTACATTTGAGTACAGTTATTGTTTGCATTCGGGAGAAAACCAGATAGAAAGAAGATAAAGAGGGAAGAATTCACATTGAGAGTTTCATTTCATTTCACCTAGGACCTTGTTTCCTTGCAAGAAACTGTTTAAATACAGTATCAAAGTTGAACAAGAAAATGGAAATGTGTGTCAAAAGAGACCCATAAAAGGGGAACAGAATAAAGCAGATACCTCAAGACTTTTTATGGCCGAGAAATCTTATGGCTTTGAAACCTGAAATCAGGACGCAAAACATAATTGTTCTGCTTTTGTCATAAATCAGAATTTTTCCTTCCATATTTCTCCCAGGCACACAAAAAAAATTGAATCCAAGGGAGAGTTTAAATCTAGATGAACAATTGGACAAATTGGAAATTGAAGGGACGCTTCTCTAACTCAAGATTGGTACAGTAACAGACAAGAATTGCTAGCAAGAGAGAAGTAAGGGGAAGAAAGAGAGGGGCCATGTTGTCCTTGGAAGGCAACAAGGGGGCTTAATTCCCAATGGGACTGCCCTTCAAGCATGTCCTTTGAGTCACAGACCCCAAAAACACTAATGGTGTGTCCTTGTCCCCACAAGTCCACATGACTCTGTTTCTCCCCCGCTCAACCCTCTAAATCCCTCCATATATACCCTAAACACGCTTCATTCTTCCCCACCCATCTCCAAAGTTTCAAACTTTCTCTCATCCTCTTCTCCACTTTTCAACTCTTTCTTCCAAAACCCACAAAGTAGATGGCCATCAGGAAATCAAACAAATTGCCTCAGCCAGCAGTCATCAAGCAAATCCTCAAGAGATGTTCAAGCCTGGGGAGAAAACAGAGCTATGATGAACAGGGCCTCCCCTTGGATGTCCCAAAAGGCCATTTTGTGGTATATGTTGGAGAAAAGAGAAGCAGATACATTGTGCCTATTTCCTTCTTGAGTAGGCCTGAGTTTCAGAGCCTTCTTCATCAAGCAGAAGAAGAATTTGGGTTTGATCATGACATGGGCCTCACCATTCCTTGTGAAGAAGTTGTTTTCCAATCTCTAACATCCATGCTCAGATGAAGAAGAAGAAGAAGAACTGGTTAGAGTTAATGATTGTGAGTTATATTATCTGGAGGGAAAATGGGTCGAGAGATGAAGCTGCTACTCTGCTTCTGCGACCTGGTTTTTGATTTTTCCCATTTTTCTAGTGTTGTTAAAAAAATTATCTGACCTTAGAAAACCCATGAATATTATTAATCTGGGTTTTGATTTGTAAATCAGGAAAAATAAGAAATTTACCTCACTGAGGGGTGGATGATGTAAAATGCCGATGTACCCTGTGAGAGAGCAGAGAATTAATATTAGTAATTGGAAGTTTCCCTCTTTTTGTTTTGGCCAAACGGAATTTTCCCACTTCTTCTGTCCTTTTATGTTTATGTTTTCCGGTGCATTTGTCTCTATATATGGACTTTTTTCGCAGTTCAAAACTTCACTACTACTTCAATTTTTCTGGTTTATCCGACGGTTTAACCGTTGAAAAAACTGTCCAAAGATAGAACCCATACAGCCCGGGATGTTTCGTCGGAAAACATTTTTTTTTTTTGAACAATATTACATGGGGCAGGTTCAAACCTGCCCAAGGGGAAGGGGGAATGCATCGTGTGGTCGGAAACTACTTGACCCAAGGACCAGATGCGTTTCTTCGGAAAACATGAGAAAGAAAAGGGCAAAAAAATAAATAAATAAATAGTACAATTGCCCTTACTTAAAAAATAATAAAATAATAATCTTATTATTATTATTATTATTATTAAAAAAAAGAAGGAAAAGAAGAAAAATAGAAAAAAAAGAAAAGCATCTCCGGATTCTTCGCATCATCACGTTAAGGTTTCTAGAAAATAACTAATTTTGATTCAGTAAAGTTAAAGAGTTAGTATTCTAAAAAATAGAGGAAAAAATTTTTAAAAATAGTACCAATTGCTGGATCATTGCATGGATCTCTTCTTTTAAATTTTACCTTTCTTTATTTTTTTACGCAGAGAGTTCGGTGTTTACTTTACGTAGTGTTATAAGGGCTTGATTTTAAATTAAAAATTTTTAGTTAATAAATCATAATTCAGTTAAATATTTATTTAGTCTTCTAAACCTTAATTAATATTATTACTTTTTTTAGTAAATAAAAAAAAACAGAAAGAAATTGAAGGATAATTGTTATAACACATTAGAACTAATTAGAAGGGATTGTTTTTTTATTACATAATTTTTTTTAAAAAAAGTAGTATTAAATTTAGTCTCAACTTTTAATATATAAATATAAAATATTGTTATAACCTTCAATTTAAATTAAAAATGATCTTTAAGTTTTTAAAATACCTACCCTAATCCTACTGTTAATTACTTCATTTAAGTTTTTTATAAAAACCATAGTTGAAATTTTATAGGACTCCTCAATATCAAAAAAATTGTAAAGCCTAACTTTTTATAGCTTTTAGAATTAATTCTCAAAATAGGGTTGTGTTATTTACAAGAAAACAATGAAACATAGATTTGAAATTATAGTTGACAAAAAGAAAAATAAAGTTTAATAATTCAATAGATGTGGGGTGATGGTTTTTTTTTTTTTTAAATAGTTCTCATCGGTTTTATCAAATTTTAGTTAGGATTTTTTTTCTTTTTTGAATAGAAGAAGGGAAAATAGGATTTATGAGACTTAAAAAACGCAATTTACAAAAAAGAATCTTTACTAAACCAAAAATTTTGACCACTAAATTGGGATACGAGATTCATTTTTAGTTAGGATATGTGTTAAAAGACATAGCAAAAGTGACTGAAGGTAAGTTGAGATTATTATTATTATTATTATTATTATTATTATTATTATTATTATTATTATTATTAT